TGGGGCCGATGAGCTACCTACAGAGCTAGTAGCTAGGAAATGATCTTATGTCATATAGATACTATGGTTTTATGTCTCAGCATGCGGGGGAACATTACCGCCTGGGATATAATAGCAAGAAGAATTTCCTATCTGTATCCTTGATAGGCACCGCACTACGATGTGGGAGAGGCGGATGGGGTAGACGTTCAGTGCTGTTCGGAAGTAAATACATAGCTCTAACCTGTTTTTAAGTCATGGCCAAGGATTACTTATAAAACAGAATGAGATATGAAGAGATTGTCGTAACATATTTTGGCGCTCAAAATCAATTTTAGTACTGTAGCCAAGGGGGTCCTAATTAACATAGCTTCAGGCGTCTAGAATTTCAGTCTTGGCACCGGGACCGATTCATACATTATCACTCGCCAGGAAACAATCATCGGTGAACATGAAGCCTACAGGAGGGATTAAAGTTTTTAAATCAGCTGGCTCTTTGAGTTTGAATTTGTCTGGGCTGTAATATATCAGTACCATTTGACTTCATTTTTCTTAGATATGGTACATTTAAGGACTATTTTTCATCGAGGAATGATATGTCTAGCCACGTCATTTAGATGAAGAGGATAATAAGGAAGGGGTGTGGAGAGTGCTAACTAGCTAGCTACAGTTGCAGCTCAGCTCATGAGCGTTAGCCCGCAGTGCCCAGTCATATTACATAGAGTGTGTTAGTTTCTACGCCTGAGGCACCTGCAAGGTTACGGGGCGCCACTATAACTTTGCAAAACTACTTTAACTTCAACTTTTTCTTGGATAGTTGTCGTCAACGTTCGCTTTTTTCTCCTGGAGTTTAGCATCAGGTCGGATGGGGGGGATTGGGATTAGAGGGGAAGGTGGAGTAAATGCCGAAGGTAGTAAGCAAGGGACTGTGTTAGGTAGGGATTGACTTATATCATCGAGATATCGATCGGCATGATGTGAGGTGTAGGTCGGGATATCAGAGATACTGAAACAGGGTGTGTGTGTGGGAATCAAAAATGTCAAAAGATAAAGGGAGAATTTAGTATGAGAGGTGTTTAATACGAGGTGGAAAGTACAATATGAGACAGAAACCTAGATAACAGTGGAAAAATGGATGGCAGGAAGAGAAGAATATAAACAAAAATGAGATAGATAACCAGAACCAGAGAGAAAAAAGATTAAAGACTGCTGCAGGAATGTAACCTCAAAAATATCAAAGCAGGCAGGGAGAGTTGATTACAGTGATACTAGTGCCGGACTAATGGGAATGTTTATAAGAAATAATAATTGTAACACCTACCGTTTTTCACCGATCTAATCATGAGCCGACACCATCCGGTAACGCAAGGAAATATAAACAATTAACGGAAAAACTACGTCTGAAACTGTCATTTCCATACTTAGCTTTACGCCTAAATGCATACCTCTCAATTGTCCAACGATTCTCGGAATAATTCGCCAATATATGCATCATCTAAGTATTCGGAACGCCCTGCTGTTTTCGGTTCCCCCCGCCCCTATAACCACCTCTCTGTTGACTTTGTGTATCCACCAAGAAATGTCGGACCGGACTGGCACTTCTTCTCGCATATGGGTGAGCACGTTGCGATTTGTGTCCACCGCGGCGATTGACCATTGTATTCTGTGGACGGCTCTGGTTGAAGTGTTGTGCTGGCGGTGGAGCAGTAACAGGTTTAGGCGGCAATGGGTGATGGGAAGGTTGTGGAAGAGGCTTAGCTGTTGTATCGCGAACGCGCTGTTTTTGAGGTCGGCTATACATTTCGTTAGAGAAGTCCTGGAATAAGTCCAACCTTGTGGGTTAAACAGTAAGATAACAACGAACCTATTATCCAGCGGACTTCGACTTTTGCGTTTTCCTCCTTGATTTATGCCATTTGTTCTACCACGAACCCCGCTGTTGCCAAGATTATTGATCCCTTCATGACGGCCTGTGTGGCTTGTGTTGTTCGCCAACGAGGTCGTAATCGGTTGTCGGGTCCGAGGATTTTTCGAGTCAGAAGCATCTCCGGCAGTATGTGTTTTCTTTTCGACTGCGTCTTCACTTTCAACGGGCTCATCTGTGTCCTCGAATCGCACCTCGATTGGCTTTTCTTCTTGTGCATTCTCGGCCTCAGTTTCCACCTTAACCTCCTCCTCTGGTTCATCTGGTAGCTCCCATTCTAATGGTTGTGCAAGCATGCTTCCTCCAGTTCTAACGCTCTCCCAGATGGGATCTTTCATGATCTCGCTGCCCTCCCCATAAAAGTCCCTATTGATTCTCCTACCCTTGGGATCAAAGTATTTCGTGAGGGCACTCTCTTTAGTTTTTTTATCATTACCTTGCTCTTCAGTTTCTTGAAAGATTGGGTCTAGTGGTGTTTCGGTTGGCTGTGCAGGTCTCCAAACTTAAAGTACAGAAGATGTTAGAGATTGTTATCTTGATAAACAAAGATGATGGGGGCATACTTATAACACCATTTTTTGAAGACGTAGCCGCATTTTTATCCAGGCTTGGGAAGCAAGGAGGTGGTTTCGGGGGTGGAGGTTGCTGCTGTGCGGGTGCAACACCATTTGCTGCAGGTGTTTGCGGAAATTGATTCTGCGGTCCATGGCCGTGATGTTGGGTCTGCGAGAAAGATGCGGTGGCGGGTGTATATGGTGGCTGAACTGGCGGTTGCTGCGGATATTGCTGGTAATTTTGATGCGGAGGGTAGGGGCCTGGAGGATGTGCCTGGTGTGGGGGGTTATAGTGGGGATGCGCCGGCTGGGGTGCTTGCACTTGTGCCGTATAGTTACTCTGTGGAGTATAACCACCATATGGTGGTTGATTATGCTGTCGAGGGTAAGCTGGCTGCGCTGGTTGCGTTGGTTGGTTGTAGCCATAGTTAGAGACAGGCTGGTGTGGGCCATAAGCGGGGGCCTGTGGCGGCGGAACAACTGGAGCAGCACCGTAAGGCTGTTGCCATGGTTGCGTTGGAGGATACCCCTGGGGAGTTGCTTGCTGATGCCATTGCTGTACCGGCTGCTGCTGCTGCTGCTGCTGTTGAAGATGCGGCGGCTGGTAAGGACCTATTTGTGCTGGAGGTTGATAAGGCCCGGTTTGTGGATAGGAAGGCTGCTGTGGGTAACCGTTGGCATAATTTGGCGGAGGAGCGAAACGCGTAACGACAGGTTTATTATTTCTTTTTTGAATAGCGCCTCGTTGAGGACGCGGAGCTTGATTAAGCGACCCACTGAAAAAAAATTTGATCAGCAAAGAAAGCTCCACGGTGGTCAGTTAAGGGTTGGTACGAACGCAGGAACGGCCCTTCTAGCTTCGCGACAGTGTTGAGCAACATGCTGAGGGGAACCACAATTATAGCAAGGCTCTGGCGCAGGTTGTGTCTGAGGGTTTTGCAGATGTTGTTGCTGTTGAGGGTAAGCTGGGCCCGTATACTGGTGCGCGAACTGCCTTTGATGAGGTTGTGAGTTCATCGCAGGAGCTTGATTGAATATTCGATATTTTGTAGAAGGAATGTGAGTCTAAGGGAACTAGGAGTCGTAGGCCTAAACGAGAATGGGGGGTCGAGCAGTTGTTCGAGGAACACGATTGTCGATGGAAATGGAATGTGGACTGGTTGGACCAGGGGAGATGAGTAAAAAACAAATGACCGCCCCACAGCCCACCTTCAATAAGCTTTGGCCAAGCTATGAGCACGGGAGAAACGAAAAAATCGGCGATATTCGATAGGACTTAAAAAGGTGCACTGTTCATATTCAAGGAGTGGGAACGGTCGGTGAGTGGGAGCTACTAGAAAGAACGGGATGGTAAAGAAATTATGGGTGAGGCGAGGGAGGCAAAAATATGGAGGGACACAGAGAAGGAAGGAGGTGACGAGTGAGAGTCTTGGGAAACTGATAACTGGTGAGATGGGGTTTTTTCGGTTGCCGAATTGAACTATTCCTGTCAGATTGAGGTCGCGTTAAGGTTCTGCCAAGACAATTGAATACCAGACATCAAGATGAACTATGTCAAGTGGGGTACAGAGTGATGGACTTTTTCACGAGCGTTATTGACAGGGGCATTTGTAATTTGACCAGTTCAGAGAAAACAAAGAAAACCTTATTAAGAGGGAATAGTGCACTGAAGCAGGTATCATGTTTCATGGGGGGAAGAGACCATCAAGAGGTATGTTTTTTTAGTGGATTTGTCTGTGCTCATCTATCTGAACCCCGCGATGTTTGTCTCAAGTGAGGATTATAATGAAACGATAATAGAAAAAGGAAAATGGGAACAGGTATGGAACGGATACAACGAATGGACAGAGAGTTGAATAGATGAGATTGAATTTACAACCACGCTGACAAAAGAGACAAGAAATTTGGATATTAGGAAACCTATTAGCAGGGATTGTTTAGTTGGCGGGGAGGCAAACATAAAGCTCTCTTGAGCTGTGATGACTGTTTTTACTGCCTGAACACAGTTTTAGCAGTGGCATCGACGGAGTAATTCCGTCAGATCTCTCCAGAGAGAATATAGTAGGAATGGGTGATGATAAAAGTTTGGCTGAAATGGCTGAAATGGAATGGTGCTTCTTATTTCATATGTTCGATGTTTGATGGAGGGTTGGTGTTGAGAGCTGAGGAGGAGTTTGAGAGAGCCGCTCTGCCCTTGGCTATGTAATTGCGGGGCCGATTCCCAACGCAGCCAAACCAATGCCCAAAATGGCAACTCTCAACGTCCATCATATCGTGGGGGCAAGAGAGAGTGCGATTATCACGAGCCACTGTAATTAGAAAGGTTCCCAGGGCTTAGAAATCATCACAACCCTCGAATAATCTCCTTCATCACATTAGACACGTGCTCCTTCGCGTCTTTGGTTTTCATATGCGTTGACCTAGATGAACATGAACCATTTGCTGCCTGTCTTCTCTTCCCCTTGTTCCCATCACACAAGCTCGCAACCTTGACCAACACCACCATAAAATCCATCTTACCATAGCTGCAGCTGCACAAGCAAATGCCTGGACTACCCGGTACATATGCACTCCGATCGACTTGCCCCAAAGCTTAGCACGACTGACAGCAACACTAGTCTCAGTCGACCTCGATGAGTGCATCGAGCGCCTCTACAAAAAAGAGCTCCTCGCGGAATCTGTAATAGAGGCGATATGTAACAAACTCAAGGAGCAGCTCATGCGCGAATCCAATGTCGTGCACATACTCGCCCCAGTCACTGTCGTTGGCGATATTCACGGGCAGTTCTTCGACATGCTCGAGATATTCAAGATTGGTGGCTTCTGTCCAGATACGAACTACCTGTTCTTGGGTGACTATGTCGATCGTGGGCTGTTCTCAGTCGAGACCATATCGCTACTAGTGTGTTTAAAACTGCGGTGGCCAACACGGGTACACCTTATTCGCGGAAACCATGAAAGTCGAGGTGTCACGCAGAGCTATGGGTTCTACACCGAGTGTTCAAGAAAGTACGGGAATGCTAGCGTGTGGCATCACTTTACGGACATGTTTGATTTCCTGACGCTGAGTGTCGTTATAAACGACGACATCTTCTGTGTCCACGGAGGTCCGCCTTCCAAGACCCCCTTGACTACACTCCCTTCTACCGGCGCTGACACTCCCCACTAGGATTATCCCCCTCCATCCACTCAATCGATCAAATCAAAGTAATAGACCGGTTCCGCGAGATCCCCCACGAGGGTCCCATGGCCGACCTCGTCTGGTCCGACCCCGACCCAGAACGCGACGAGTTCTCGCTCTCCCCGCGCGGAGCCGGGTACACCTTCGGCGCCCAGGTGGTCAAAAAGTTCTTAGAAGTCAACAATCAATCGCACATCCTCCGAGCACACCAACTGTGTCAAGAAGGATACCAAGTACTGTACGAAGATCGATTATCTACCGTATGGAGTGCACCCAACTACTGCTACCGGTGCGGGAATATGGCTAGTGTCTTGGAGGTTAATGACAAGGGAGAGAGATTCTTTAATGTGTTTGAAGCAGCGCCAGAGAACAGTGAGCAAAGAGACGCGGCAGCGCAACAGGACAAGGGGGCCGTTGTGGAGTATTTCTTGTAGACGTTTCTTGGGCGGTGGGGTATTTGGGATGCTTTTTATTTTTATGTTTTTTTGTTTGGTTTTTTTCTTCCATGTGTTGGATATGACTTAGGCTGCATCGATCTGTACACTTTCGGGGTCCCGCGATTATATACCTATACAGTAGACTCTCATTCATAACGGTTTGCATTGTCAGGGGTACTAATTCTCAGTCTGTACTTTAGCATATATGGTGCATGTATTTCTTTCATGTTTTTATGCGGTCTAGACCATGTTTTGATGATACCATCTGCGAGCGTTACTACTGATTATCATGTCAAATTAAGCCCAGCTACAAGCTAGCTACATACGTATACCAATAGAAGTATTCTGGATATCCGAGCTAGATCTGTAGATGACATAGATTTGGCGCCCTGGTTACTACTACCCTCTGCATCTTGACAGAATGTCTTTAAGGGCAATCCCTCAGGAATAGCCTATCCTAACCTGGGTCATGCTTAAGAAGTCAGGTCTACCTCCGGAGCTGAGCACACCATGCCCATGTTCCATCCGTGTATTATGCAATTCCGCCCTCAGGCTTTTAACGAGTAAGCATCCCATTCCTAGAGAGTATCCAGCATTCGAGGCAACAACAAAATATCAAACATCCCTAGTGATCACCGAGGAATGCGCAAACGGTCTATTGAAAAGAGGCAAAGGTGTTCCTTTCCGACTTTCGCCCCAGTTATGTGTAGCAGCATTATCATTAAGCTAACTTCCGAATTAGTCCTTGGCCAGCCAACCAGCAGCCACTCAGGCAACCATTATATATTAAAGCTGTGGGTCTAAATACCTCCCGCCTATTCCGCCATTTTGCTACAACGCAGCCTGGAACGAAACTTGCAAAAGTGGCTAGCTAGCTTTCCACAGGATCGATCAATGGTATATATGGTAGGGGGTTTTACAGCTTGGGTTTAAGATTTCACTTACTGTTTTCCCTTGCCCCCTTGATCTTAATCTTACCGATAACCAGTAGCTGGACCTCGGGTAAAAGCTTCTTAACATCGGCACCAAAATTTCGAGGCACTACGATATGTTGCGCACCATACTATTTGGGGGGGGGGGGGTACGGTGGGTTGCGTTTTATAGGTAGAGATAAACCGCATCCTGTTTCTTTCAGCGCTGAAGCAGAAGAATAAGGTGGTAATGAGATGAGATCGGGGTATGTCCACGGCCATGATACACTATTACCCCGACTCCGTTCCCTAGAAATATGTTCTGGAATACGGAGAACAGCTTCCCGGATAAAGATCCAGACCCCAGCAACTGCAACGCATAAAACAGGACATCTCCCTCCATCCACTCGAGCCAGAAAGTAAGCACGCACAGTCCCACGCTGATAGGTTACATTACTTGTGTGTTCTCTAGCCAATAAACTAGAACATGCGCACACAACAGCTATTCCTCAACTCGAGTGATACCTTATGATCTCACACGAAACAGACCTTGGCTTCCGCCCCGGAGTAGGTCACAGCTACATGCACGGAATCCCACCCTCCGAAGCTTCTATGCCAAACACTCCTCTTGCACAGAATCTACATACACAGCCGGCTCGCCACGACGAAGCTAAAGGGCAAGTCGAAAATGCCAGTATCTCGGCATCATGAAATATCACTCGCAACTCGAGACTCATCCTCGATCAGTTCGCCTTGAGATGGACACTTAGTTAATTGTAGTCCGGATATACTCACGGTCCCTTTCCCTTTTTCCTTTCGTCATCCCCGCATTAATTAAGTCCTAAGAAGTCGTGGTAGCAACAACCTCACAAAGTTTCTCAGGAATTAGTTAACGCACGAGTAGTCTACCTAAAATTCGCAAAACCAGCACTCAACCGGCACACCTTCTCTACCCGCCCCGCCCCCAACCCTCCCACCTACTTCGTCTTCCTCCCCTCCGCACCCGCACCCTCATCCTCACTCCCACTCTCCTCATCCTCCTCCAGCTGATCCACCCCTTCCTCCACCTCCCCCCTGCTCCCCCACCAACTCCCCACCACCATCAGCGCCAGCACCCCCACCACCGCCCCCGAGCTCTCATTCGTGCTCGGATACACATTCCACGCCCACTCCTGCGCCGCCCACAGCCCGGCGACCCAGAGCGGGCCCAGCCCGCTCCTCCACAGCAGATACGGCGCCCCCCAGGCGAGCCAGCTGTAGAACTGGTAGTGCAGCGAGCGCGCACACAGCATGCCGATCGCGTTGGCCGTGAGCACGGAGGTGAGTATGTACCGCGGGCTGACGCGCTGCGAGATTTGGTGGTCTTCGAGGCCCGTGGCGGGGTCGAGGAGGAGGGATAGGAAGGAGGTGAAGCTACGCTGCGAGGGTCTAGGACGAGGTTAGTTTCCGTCTAGACAGTGGGGTGTGGGAGCGGAGGTCCGCGGGGGGGGGGGGGGTATTACTTCTTCCAGCGGGTGACGATGAAGCCGAACAAGAGCACTGCGTGCACCGCCAACAGGCCGAGCGAGAATTCCCGCGATAGGAATGTCTTCTCGCCAACGAAGCGCCAATTCACAGTCCACTTGAACATGAACTGTCTCGAGAACTCGAAAGCCTTAGTGATGTAGCTCTTCGGCGCGGAGCCCAGGAACGGTGTTCCGAGGAGGAATTGGATCTGCGCCATGATCACAGCCTGCTTGATGGCCTTGTCCCTGCCGCAGGCGAGCAGATATATGACGGCGACGGCCGGGAGCGCGAGGAGGGTGTTCATCTTGACGCCGACGCTGAGCGAGTAGGCCACGGACCCGAGGGTCCACTGGCGCTTCTGCCAGCAGTATATGGCGGCGAAGAGGAGGAAGATGGAGAACGGGTCGTTGAAGAGGCGGAGGAGGTAGATGCTGTGCAGGCGCTTTGAGAGTGCTAGCAGCGGGAGGATGTAGACGGGCGCCTGGAAGTTTTTTCACACAAGAATTGCTTGCTCTCTGGTTATTATTGTGTTTTTTATTAATGCGGGTTTCTTAGGTACAGATGACATTACTCTAGCTTCGCGGTACACCATGAACACCATTGCCAGCGTCGCGAGGTACAGGCCCATGAACAGGTACTGCGCCGCCACGATGTCCGCCCCCTGGTGGGTGAGGTCGGACAAGAACGAGTATATGTAGACGTGGCCCGCTGGGTAGACGAGGGGGCCAGTGCCGCCCTTGATGAGGGCGTAGTCGCGCTCGCCGGCCTGGTACTGCGCGACTTGCTCCATGTAGGCCTTCCAGTCAATTTCGGTGTCTGGTGGGGCGAGGAAGTGTTAGTGGAGGCCAGGTTTCACTTGCTTCTGTCGCCGGTTGATTGCTTACATGGGACCTTTTTGATTATGAGGGTGCAGAGGAAGGCCTCTGCGAATAGTAGTGGGCAGAGAAGCCATCGGGATAGTCGTGAGTGCGAGGAGAATGCGAATGAGTATGTGGATCTGATAATGTCCATGATGGCGGTGGATTGGAGATGAGAGAAGCTGAGTGAGAGCTTCTCGGAGCTATTGTCGACTGTCAGGCCTTAGGCTACATGTAAAGTACGAGGCCCCAAGAAAGACATTAAGTAAGCGCAGATTAGTAGCAGGCATCCCTGTCCACTCCCACCCCGGAGATTCACGACAGGATGGAAATATGTAGAAGTCATGACAAGCATTTGCATCGTGCTCTGTGGATGCCTCTTGATAGCCTGGATCTTGGAGTAGACGCTGGCAGTTGACATCAGCGCTGATTGGGATTGCTCAATCAATCTCACGCAGGGCCTGGTGCCGGTGTCGGTGTCTCTAACTCAGTCAGTCCGTCAACCGTCAATTGCCCCCATCCACCCATCCATCCATCCTGGGGCCCATCTTGCTGGCATCTTGGCAGGGACCTGGGCCACGTCGACTGTGTATCTGCACGCCGAGAATCGGTTCGATCTGGTGCTGGTTTTTTCGTGCAGAAGAGGGGAGAGTGAAAGAGGAGGAGAGCGACTTGGGATACTCTCTCTCTAGAATGATACCCTGTTACATTCCCACTGCAACAGCTTCTATGGCAATGGGGACAGCTATTAATCAAAAACAATCATTTAATATTAGAGCCGGTTGGTTCTTGTGGACATTGATGTGATGTAGATCCACAGATCGAGTGCTGTTTGCGGTCCAGATCCATTTTTCTTTTACCCTTCCCTTTGTTTCCCGAGCAGACAGACCAACAACAGCCAGCCAGTGGTAGATGGTTTGATCTGCATGTTCCGAAGCCTCAGCGGCTATGAGGAGCAGAGAGGGTAGATAGATAAATTGCTTCGTTTCCTCGAATTTCCGCTCTTGATCCCGTGCTTGCTTGGTTTCTAGGAAAAGAGAAAGTCCTGGGAGAGAGAGCCTCATTCCATATCCATATCCATAATCCATATCCATACCCATTCAAAGCACCAATCTCCACAAACCGACCCCGAGTGAGTGTGAATGCAGCAGCAGCAGAGGCAGCAGCAGCAGAGGCAGCAGCAGAGCATTGTATCACACATATGTGGGCGGTATCACAGCAACTAAGCTAGGAATAATATCAGTCACCCAGGAAGAAGCCATTCCCCACATCATCACAGCCCTCTACATCACACCCACATCCACATCCACATCCATATCCATATCCTATTCGTCAACACCACCACCCACAACCACATTCATCCACAACCACGACGGAGACTGACTGACGGACTGTCTACATCCCCCCATCCCTCCTCATCTATCCATACTTACCAGCAGCATCCACGGCATCTACATCCTCTACTTCTCCTCCGCTACCACTTCCCTTACACACGCGCATTGCAGCATCACGACTGAACACCCCCCCCCAAAAAAAAAAAAAAACTGCATCACACCTGCTGCAAGCACCCCCCTCCCTCACAGGCAAACAGGCAAACACGATGTGGGCTGCAATGTTCTCCCGGAAAAAGCCCACCGCGGCTCCCGTAGAGGTGCGTGCTATCGAGGTGACAGCGACAACGACAACCACCACCGCCGGGTCAGACCGAGCGGCGCCCGTGGGCGAGAAGCCGGCACAGGACAAAACCACAACCACTGCTACTACTACTAGCAAGTCGAAGGAGTCTACTGTTGCTGCAACTAAATCTACATCTACATCTACACCTACACATACACCCACTACAACAACAACATCATCATCTCCATCAGACAAGGACCCCAAAGTCCACATCAAAAGTGAGCCTACTAGCCGTGCCAGCACCCCCGCCACAACCACTACACGCCCCAAGCGTCCCCGCACCTCCGATAGCTATACCTCCACCACCCCCCACCTCCGCAAACGCACCCGACACTCCCTCGGGCCCCCCGCTAACACTCGTTCCCCGCTTGTCCGCGCCCCCCGCAACCCCTCCACCACTACACCGCCAGCCGTCAAGTCCGAATCCCGCACCCCCCCCAAGCAGCAGCTCCCCACGCCCGCAACATCAATCACCGAGTCCATTACAACACTCACCCTTCTTTCCCCCGCACCTGCAAAGCCAAAGCGCCGCTCGCGGCTCTCCCTCCCTGTCGAAGACGACTCCTCGGTCGTCAGCACAACGTCCGAGCAGGAAACGGATGAGCTCCGCCGTGAGGGCTTCAGCAATGACGAGGCGACACTGTTCCAGCGCATCCGGCGGCGCGGGCTCGAGCCGCTGATGCCCGCTCACTGGCAGGTGGATTTCGCAACTATGCCCGATAATCTATTTCAGGAGGAGCCGGATGCTTCGGCCGTCATTGAGGGATTGTCGCCGGAGGGCACGTTTGCGGCGACGGCGGCGTTCCAGGCGATGGTTAATCTGGGTGCGGGAGTGAGGGGCAAGTTGGAGACGAGACGGGAGGTTGAAGGGCGCATTTTGAGTGTGCTGAGGAGATATATTTGTTGGGCAGTGGAGGATGCGGCTTTGGGTATGTTTTGAGAGGTTATTTCTGTATTTTGGGGGTAGGAGGGCTAATGGGTGGTTGTGGCAGATAATAAACATATAGAGCCGATGATCGCGATCTCGTCGTCGCAAGAGCGGGGCGCTGAACATTGCGAGCAGAGGATGGATAAGGTAGCTTCTTTTCTCCTGCGGGGACTGGGATATATATCGCTAACACTATATAACAGAAACTTCATGACCTTGCCGCCGAATACCGCGCCGAAGAAGCCCGTCTAATCGCCGCCGGTCATGACGTTGAGTCCGGACTCCCCTCCACCGTGTACGGCATGGCCGTTGCTGGGTGCGTCGTTGCGCTCATCACCCTCGACGCCCGCAACCGCCAGGCGCCAACGCGAACGCTGCTTGTTGTGGACTTTTCGGACGTCACGCTAGATTTCTGGAATGCTGTCGGGGTATGTGTCTTTTATTCTGAAGGGAAGGTGGGAGATTGTTAACAGTGTTTGGTGGTGCAGGTTGCGATTTTTGTGATTGCGGCACGAGACGATGAAGTGCTGCGGCTGCGCTGGTATAAAGAGGCGGGGGTGGAAAAGCCTAAGAAGAAAGATGGTGCCATGGCGTGGATGGGCAGGATAAAGATTAAGAAGTTGAGTGATGACGATGATGAGGATAAGTAGAGTTTTTCCCCCTGGTTTTTACTTTGACTACTTTCTTTTCTTTTCTTTTTTTTTATTCACTAGTTGGGGTTTTTAACTACTACTGCTATCGCGGCAATTGTAGCATTTTTGTGTTTGTGTTTGTGTTTGTGTTTGTGTCTAAACACATGTGTATTCCCTCCTTTTTGTTCTTCTATAGTTCTTGTTTTCGAGTGGTTGGTTGGTCTTTTTTTTTGAGTATGGGTTATGTTGTCTATATTGCATCTGGCATATGCCTCCCCCCTTCCCCCCAAACCTCCTGTGCGGGTATTTCTTTTGTTTTATTCTATTCCTTTTTTTCTATATCCTGGGCTTGGAGTTGTTTTTACTTTATTTTATGACGTTTCCTTCACTATCTTCTCTATATTCATCACCCTTCTTCTTCTTTCTGGTCAATTGGTTTTTTTTATTACGTACGTAGTGATAGTGGATAGTGCTTGTCTTGTCTTGTTTCACGGCGGCGGCGGCGGCGGCGGCGGTTTGTTTGATATCTACTAGCCAGCTACTGCTATAGCTGTAGTGCCCAGGTGGTTTTGGTTTTGGTTTTTGGTTCTGTTTCTTTTTTTTCCGTTTTTTTGGATTCTTTCTCCTTTTTTCCTTCCTTCTTCTTTGGATGGGGTGGATGGATGGATATTAATCGCACGCGCATGTTCGGGGCGGTAGGAGGGAAGGATGGGAAGGAAGGACGGGTGGATGGATGGAAGGGAAGGAGGCATGGGAAGGAAAGGATGTGTTTATGTATTTACGATATCATGAAATCGGGATATTCATTGCTGGGGGCTGTTGTCGCTTGTCCGTTGCCGGTGGGGTCTAACGGGAGAGGATATATAATAACTGCATGTATCTATCTGGAGAGCAGATGAGCTAGGGGAGCGGTGGAGGGTAATTCCAGACCTATGTATCCTATATCTCATTCTATACCGGGGATGTGCCGGGGGAGAAAGTTCAGAAATGATATGAGATGGCCTGCTTCAAGCTTAGTTAAATTCGACTTTCTCAGAGCCTTTTCCGGTTTCTATGGTTGAACCGGCCGGCTCAGAGGGTCAATGATGGAGTGTGCATGTGTCCCTGCCAAGCAAACCTCACCATGATCAATGATCATATTTCAATCTTGGCACCGCCAGGATCCTACCTCCAACTTAACCATCAACCCCGACACCAGCTCCAACCCCAACACTACCCTACCCGCCAACCAACCAACCCACCCACCTACAATGCCGCGCGCCGCCGCCTCCCGCCGCGCCCTCACCGCCATCGACGCACTCACCACCACGCCACCCGACACCCTCCCACCCGGGCACATCATCTGCCGCATCATCACCTCCGCCGGCAACAACATCTACCGCCTTCTCACGCCCACCGATGCCAAGACCGAGATTCTCGCCGAGCTGCCGACCATGTTCCGCGGAAAGGTGTGGCTCAAGCGCGGGGGCTATGTGGTGGTGGATACGGGCGCGTTTGGGGAGCGGGAGAATAAGCTCGGTGGAGAGATTGTGAATGTGGTGAGGGGTGAGAGGGAGTGGAGGAAGGAGGGGTATTGGTAAGTTTTTTGCTCTTCTTTGTGGGGAGTGGGGGATGGGGTGCTGATTGTGGTGGTGGGGTGGGCAGGCCGAAGCAGTTCCCGAAGGAGGAGGAGCTCGAGGATAGTGAGGAGAGTGAGGAGGAGTCGACGGTGGGGAAGATGCCGCCGGGATCGGATGATGAGGAGTGAGTGGGTGGGGTGGTAAGTTAGGGAATGTGGAGAATGCAAAAAAAGGCATTTTTTATAGACGTTATCAGTACCATCCATGCACGAGAATCAGGTCCTGGAAAACGCAAAAGCTAGGCATAGTGACTACGTACTAGCTGGGCATTGGGTATTCGGGACTGGGCTAGCTTGGGAATATCGGCCCGAGACTCTTTTAGAACTAGGGATGTATGGGGAGGGGGGGCTAGCTATGATTAACGGTAGAATTTAGGAGGTTAGATGGCGAGAATTCACTGGGCTGTTTTGCTAGCTTAGATCTTTCGTTAGCACTCCCGGGGCACGATTACGGAGTAACGGCCAGCTATATCTGCTCGGGGGACTATTTATCACTTTTCTAAATCGGATAGGATAACCAATATATTCACTCCTCCATCCCCCTCCCCGGGCCCATCACCAGCACCCCCAGCAACAGTGCAAGGCTCATGTTAATTCTTTGATGCCTATACATTCCCGCCACTATTCTCTCCAACCCGATACTGTCGATAATTGTTCTCTGGACGAGTTATTTCTCCTTCTCAAGATCTATGCCTCCATTCACGCGAATCTCTCATGGGCCATCACTCATCATTATCCGAGTGATTTCTCGTGAGTCAAATTGGAAAAACTCATGATTCTAACTCTGATATAGACAGAGCTTGAGTCTTGAAGATTCATGTGGATGCAAGCCTAAGTTGTCCCGCCCCTCATGCTGGACCCAAGTTCATCGAACCAGAACGACCGCTTTGAGGGAACGGGTGTACTGTAGCGAGCAATGAGGAAGGAATGTCCGTGCATGTGGCCGGGGAGAGTATATTAGCCTAAAATACGGCTTCTGTTCTTTTCTTGGGGCTCTGTGTACTATAGTGTACCATACCCTAGAAATTTGCCCCAACTGTACTACAACATTTCTTTAGAAATCGTCCAAGCCTGGATTTAAAAGTCAAAATCATAATGGACTCAGTATTTTTTCCAAAAAGCCCCAACCTATGCAACTAATAAAGAATAGAGAAAAAAACTGCATCTGTAGAATTCAGACATTTTAACTACTTGGTATTTTATTTGGATGCGGCACCCTAGATATGTATATACGTACAAAAAGATCTGTGGCATCGTAATGTTTTACCATTCTTTGTAGACTATTAATTCCCATATAACTGACCAAAATTAGAATGAGAAAATAAGGCCTTTGGTACGGAATAGAAGTCGAATCCTTTCGAGCAGATATTAAGTAGGAGCCATTCAACGGATCGACTGAGTACCTTAATTAATTAAAAAAATATGAGCAGCCCAAAACTCCCACTAGAGCCTCCCGAGTAAAGCCTACCTCTTCTCGCTAAATTTCGAGAATATTTTTTTTCTTTCTGTTCAGGTTGTGAGACTATTTGCTTGTGTTTTGATTTGATGTGCTGAGCGCCAATTGAGCCGGTTGCGATCCTAGCTGCAGAAATGCAGGCACGTAATATCACTCGATGCCCGAACCATCATAACCCTGACCCTGAATGCCAAGAACCCTAAACCTAACAATGTATTCCTTTTTGATACTGAAACCTCGTAAATCACAACTGGGACCTTCTGATTGGACCTTGGACATGCCCTACTGTCCGTCGAGATATGTTGGTTGTTTTCCGTAGAGCTCAAAGAAGGGCTGCTGTTAATAAATCCGCTATCAACATAGAGTTTGAGCTTTCCTGTGGCGAGGAATACACCCAAAAACTCCAGTATCAAATGGACGATGAGATAATCGTTTAGAAATATTCGAATAATACCGTAGAAAGACAAAAAATATTGGACCAATAAGAATCGAAACAAGTCTGGAGACTTGGCAGCTTGGACTGTTTCCCGGATATCATAGTTGTAGCCCCTGTTCGTAATCTTCGACTGCCCGTAAACGACTCTAGCTTCCTAGATGATTATCAGTGATGGCTTGTCGCTAACACTGCAGGTACACTGCGTGCTCATCAACAAAGTCTGACTTCAGGTGATAAAGGGAGGCAGAGATAGAGCAGGCATGATGATGTAGGTACATGGACTGGTGTCGTAGCCTGGTACTCTAACCTGGTTGGGTTGATGGCCAAGTCAAAAGCTTGAGCCGGCTCTGTCCCGTTGATGCATTAGCGTCTATGAGGCCGGCCGATAAGAAGCATGCATAGATATCCGGCCAATCCCGCCGATTTGGTTCTGAGCAGTTGGACAGCTGTAAGGAACCGGGATCCTCTGTTTTCTCAGACTCGGGTTGTTTTGCCTTCCACGAGTGAATTGGTCCCCATTACGCCTAGCCTGTGGGCTCATAAAACAGCAAAATTGGTCTGATAACACAGTAAACTGTCCCTGGTAAGTGCCTTTTTCACGTGAAGATTTCTCATTGGAGGATGCAAAATGGAACTAATTTCCCACCGTTGAAACTGTGTTCTTATGAAATTACGTATAATTTCAACACACGAAGCCTTCGTATTATGCGTTAAGTACTTCATGTACTGTATGTACATGTATGCTTGGACCTTAATATTGTAGATGAATGGCTTGATAGTGAGACTCAGTATACGCCTGCCCAGCGAAGCTTGGTCTGGTACTTAGAACTCCACCGAATCAAACATCACTCCTCTTGTGGTTCCCATCACTAGATTACTAAATGTATCTCCACCATCTCCCAACCACCGTTTCTCTCTCCCTACCTTCCCTCCCGAGCGCAGAACTAATATCCTCGTCTATCGTCCCCTGTTACCGCTGCCACATGGTCTACTTTTCTGCACTTGCCTCGAGTGCTCCTAGAGGCCCCATCAACCGCCGGTCCCAGAAAGGCTAACCCATCCCACAAATCTCTAACCAAGCCACCGGGACTTCCCTCCGACCCCCAGAAAGACAGCGAGGACTATCGTCAGTCATCAAGCCACGAATCGCAGGGATCTAGCACCATCTTGACACCACCCCGGTGTAAACAACACGATTGGCCCAGAGAGAGAGAGGGCAGAATTCGCATGGAGGTCAGCGTCGGTTCGATGCTAATGTTTACGATGGTGAGAATAGTCTCTCCATGGCTTGGCTCCAGTGGGCCTCACCAGCGTGGGTGCGTGGGACTCGAACATGGCCTACGGCAGCACTGGGTTGGGGGAAGATGGATCTGCAATATCCCTCTCTCTCTCGATCTTCGGCAGGTTTGAAGCTAGCGTGTGGACGAGTCAATTGGTGAAACGGTTCAGTGGGTGGGTGAAGGGGCAGGGGTGAGTGAGAGGGGTGGAGAGAAAATTTCAAAACTGAACATGTTCGTAGTTTCTAGTTGAGGCCAATAGGAGCTCTCCGTTCGACCCTCCATAATATGAGTTTGATAAGACTTAGCGGCTCAAAGAACTTTAGAGAGAAATGCCGACGGCTTGAGATAGAGGATACTTGGGGACCTGGAGATGGTGAATGCCTACGAGGGTTCAGCAATCGGTGTAATGATCCCGTGCGAGTGATATGTTGTGATCGTTTCTTCTATACACAGGCGCGACACTTGTAAAGGCACTTGTGTTACGATGGGTCATATTATTTTATTTCTTATGAGCACAAACAAGGTTCTAGCCTACTCCCATTTATTTTGCGAAATCCAGTGTAAAAAGAAAGCCAGCCTATGAAAGAAAACCGAGAAGTCCACCCAGAAACTAACAGGTAAAAAAAAACACGGAGAAATTCGGATTAAACACAGGTACCTTGCCAAAGTTAAAAGAGGAAAGAAAGAGGAAAGAAGTTGATATTTAACAGTTGAAAAAGAATAAAATAAAGCTTTCCCAAGAATAAATAACAGAATAGTAATAGTAGTAGTAATAATAATAGAAGTAGTAGAATAATAAGACAAACCCCCACCAAAAACTCATAAGAAATGCTCCGTAGCCCCCCCCTCGACCTTTTAGTGATGCTGACCATGATGAAAGAGGGGAAAAAAAACAAGAAACAGACCCAGCTATAAAAATATGAAGGAAAAAAGAGCAAAAAAAATGAATAAGAAAAAAAAACCCGGTGCCCAGCTAGCCAGCCCAAACCATCCCATTTGACCCCACACACTCGCACGCCCTAACAGACAGAAATCAATCACCACCGTCAATAATGGTGATATAACCCGCCTATACATAAGAAGTAAAAAAATTCATACAGTAGACAAAAGAAATCGAGCACACACAGCACACAACTCTTAAAAAGCAATCCTATTTAAGGGACGGATATCCACCCTGACCTGACAAAAGAAAGACACACAGTTCTACCACAAAAGAAATAATACTTGAGGGGGTTGCGTAGGCAGTAAGTAGTTAGTAAACTTCGACACACATCTGGCTCTCAAAGACAAAAGGAAAAGAGAATGAGCGGACAGATATTTTCTTAAAAACATCCAAAAACAATAAATATAAGAGGCCCTTTTACGGCCTTCCCGGACCCACAATCTCGGCTACGGTACTCTTCCTAGCGGCCGGATGTTCCATGGGCGTCGAAAAGACTGTTCTCTCGTGTGGGTGCTCCAGCGGCGTCATGAACACTTCTTCGCCGTCGGTACTGCTAACCATTCTCACTGGGCCAGGCCGTCCCTGGCCCTTCAATGCACCGACCCGTGGCAGCACTGGGATCTCCTGAGGGACGACCTTCTTCGCGGGGCCTTCTCTCCACATCTTCTGCTCTGCTTCGCTATTGATAGATGCATTGTCGTCGTCCTCGCTCTCGTCGCTCAGCTCCATTCGTGGTGCATAAACATACTCCTCCGCATTCTGACCCTTTGGTCGGCGTGGTTCCACGCCACTGAAGTAGTCGTCACCCTCAAAGCTAGCCCCGTCGTCGAATTCCTTGTAACGGCGGCGGAGCGATGTTGCGCTTGTACGCAACGGGCTAATCTGGTGGATTGACTGGCGGGGGTTCGTCATCTTGCCAGAAAGCCACGACCCCTCTGAGTCGATTGATGCGAGTGAAGTGGACACGAATGAACGTGGGCCGTTTTCCGGGGACGCAGCACCAGAGGAGTAACGCATGGAGGGTGAATATCTGTGAGATGATGGCCGGAAGTGGGATTGCTGGGATGATGTGCGACCCTGGGGAGGTATCGTGGGGGAGTCTTCGTTCAGTTCTGGAGTGGCCGAGTGGGAAGAGTTCCTTGGGTTAGCGGGAGAACGGAGAGGGGCGGCCACGAGTGAGCTCTTGGAGCTGGAGGGGCGACCGTAGTTCGGGTATGAGGGAGGCGTGGGCGAGAAGTGGTCTCGTTGTTCATCCTCTATCTCATCCTTTCCTCGGACATGTCCTGTCTCCAATGCAGTCATCGCAAAGGCAATCTCATCCTGTATGTGTCTCCCAGGTGTCTGGCCTTCGCGGCGCCTTAGTTGTTCCACTTCGTAGAAATCCCGCCTTACAGGCTCTGATACACTACCAAGTCCTTCTGCCTCTTCGTCAGAACCATGTACCATCGTTGATTGACCAACCCGAATGTCCTGCTCCTTCTGTATTCTAGCAGCCGTCGCTTTTTTGATGAAAGATGTCCATGCTGACTTTTTTCCACGTATTTCGTCTTCCTCGGTCAATTGATCGTTGGGTGTTGTTGGGGAATCGACCTGAATCTTGGGGTTTCTCTCTGCCTTTGAGTTATTCCGTGAGGGGATCGGCGAAATCTGTGCATGACTGTGTGACGTAACATTGATCTGCTTAGCAGTGTCAAATGTAGGAGACTCAGATGTGTACTCTGCGGAGTCCATCGACACTGGCGTTATCATATCAGTTCTTCCAGATAGACGAACACCCTTATTGATATCCTCAGCCGATGCGTCATTCAACCAAGAGATGGGAGTAGTGGATTCTATCGTTGTCCTAGAGTCTCTCGGCTGACGAGCAACAACGCCTTCAGTTTCGGGAAACGGATATGGGTTGTGCACAGGACTGAAACCTCCATAGGCTTCAGCAGCCCGAGAACTCTCTCCCATCTGCCTCTCAGGCTGTGCTACAAACATCCCCTGATTCCGCTCGAGATTGTATTGGTAATCCCTATCCATATCTTGGTCCACGTCCATCTCCATGCCCATACCGATGTTGCCCTGTTCCAGTTGCCTCTGCTTCTGCTTCCTTTCCAACTTCTTTTGCAGCCTTTCCTGCTCTTGCAATCTCCTCCTTTCCCTCCGCCTCCTATCCCTATCCATAGCCTCCCTAAGTTCCTTCGCATCCATGTCATCGGCCAATTCATCCACCCTAGCCCTAACATTTCCACGGCTGTCGGTCCCAGTCCTGTGTCTATATTCGTGATTTGATCGAGAGTTCGATCGATTTGGTATCGTGGTTGGGGAGTGTTCCTGTTGCTTGCCATCTGGTGAAGTTCCAAACCCGCTCTCGTAACGGAGGCGGGGCCTGGGCGTGAATAACTCAAAACTACGGATCCTGTAGGCCCTCATTGAAGAAACTGAAGAAAGAGAAGAACTGAGCGATTGACGAGGTAATGAGGATTGCGACATAGGCCGGTCATATTCAAAACTGTTGAAACTTCTCATGCGCTTACCGTCACGCTTCGAAGCGGTTCGGGCCAACTGTTGGATGTACGCGGAAGGAGGTGGCTGTGTATGCGCTTGTTTCGACTCGCGGCCTCGCTTGCTAAATCTGCGAACAATGCTGGTCTGTTTGTGGGGACGGGCCGAAGACGTTGATGAGCTAGTCATGGGGCGATCGATCTCCACAAAGTACGACGAGAATCCTCCCTCGTGGGTCCGTTTCTGTGGCTGAAAGTTAGGATCCAACTGGAAGTTGGTGTCCATGGGGTCCGAGGAATTGCGATTCGGAAGCAAGAGATGGTCAAGCACGGGGGGTGCCGCAGAGACATAGGACTGCAACTCCCGAGCATCTGCGGGAGAAGCAACGGCGGCGGCGACGACCCTACGACGACTAGCTGAACGACGGGGATTCTGACGAGCTGAAGCTTTCCTCACCAGCGAGAGCTTGCGCTCCACGGTGGGTGGTTCCTGGTGCTGCTGTGCGACTGAGTTCTTTCCCTCCGCCGTCTTCGTCTTTCGACGTTTCCTAAATGGCCAGAGAGCCATGTCTTTACCACACCAGAGCCTCCACCACTGCTTGCGGCCGTTTACGCGCGAAATTTTGGGGGATTGAGGGGGTGCTGATGAATGTGATTGTTAATATCTTTTTTCTGGGGGGGGGAGAAGGTGATGGGGGATGACGAGGCTGAAGTAAGAGGTGGGTTCAGGTCGGCAGGTTGAATAGGTACGAGTGTGATGGTGGTTCTGCTGCTGCTGTTGTAGGAGAGCGATAGGTAGGACTCGCTGGAGGATGGTTACCGGGGAGCATGGAAGGAGAAGCGAGGAGCGATGGTACAGCTGTCGTCGCGGAGACAACAAGTCATAAATTGATACGATTGCAGGCAGGAATGATTGGTTCAGTGGTAATTGCAAGGGGTATGGTAGTGAAGCGGAAATGGGTTGGGGGGGGGGGGGGTGTAGGTAGTGGAAAGTGGAGAGTTTGAGGGGAGAAAGAGAGATTGAGAGAAATTGTTGGCCGAGAGGGAATAAACCAATTGTGGGTGGGCGGACTGTGGTCTACGGTTCTACGGGTTTACGAGACTACGGGTAGGAGGGTGGATTGGACTAAAGAGTGCACATAAGGTACATGTACATATTCCAGAGACTCGCGCACAAAAATACGAGGGGTGTGTGTGCTCGATGTGGTTGGTGACTGGGACAGGCAACTGGGGTGAGGGATCATTCACTCAAAGGAAGGGAAGTGGAAGGAAGTGCGGAACAAAATTATCTCATACCTACCTACCTGGGTCAGCAGCGTGATGGGGAGACACGGGAAAACCAAGGCCCAAGACGCAGAAACTGGAGAGAAAATAGTAAGGGAAAAAACGAAAGAAAACGGGAGTAAGAAAAAGACTTGAGGGCAAAGTAAGAGTTACAAAAAGTAACTACATGTAATTGCTACATACTATTGCAGTACTATATCAAAAGAAGAAAAAAAGAAGCGTGAGACGAGAATTAGAAACATTTCCCGAACTGTGACGCCCTCTGCTGACGGGCTCAATAAATACATGTAAAGAGCAGGTTCCAGAATCGAATCAATCAATCGAATGCACGCAATTCTATTTATCTAGTACAGCGATGATGATGATGGCTGCCCAGTGTCCCATAGATGATGGCGTTAAACGTCCCAGGAACAAGCCTGAAATGTAGATTCGTCCCCCCGTTTTGCAGCCCACATGTTGCGTAACGTGAGGGAACAGACAGGGGAGGGGGTTAAGGAGGATTTCTGAAGTGCGACTTGCTGAACGGAGTAAGGGAAGGGTGGAAGGCAGGCATGTAGTATGTACATGTAGGTAACGTAGAGTACGGTATGTAGAGTTAGGAGGTACTCTACATGTATGTACTCTACCAGGCAGGTGAAAGTACCTCCACTGTCCACCTGCTCGTCATCATCACCAGTACAGTGCTATCATCGTCGTCCGTTCGACGACGTCCTAATGTTGGAACAACGAACGCTGCCTTGCCTTGCTTGCTTTGCTGGTTGGACCCCCTTGATGATGTGTTTACTCCTCTCTTGTTGTTACTGCTGCTGCTGCTCCTTCCCCTCCTCTGTCTAGAGTACTCCTACACCTCATCCACAACTATAAATTTCCCTGCTTGAAACAATCCCTGGAATTGATAGGCAGGCCTTGTTACCGCATCGGTCCCTCGTCAAAGTCCTGCCGTGCATAGTGCTGCTCGCTTGTGGCTGGCCGTTGTGGCGGCCCCATTCAGCTGGGACCTTTCCCAAGTGCGAATAAATACCCTCCTACGTAGCTACTTGGTAGGTTACTCTATGTATGATAGTCGCAGCCTGCATCCGAATCGATTCCGATCCCGTAGAACGAACATCTTCGGCGCGAGAGGAAGGAGAGGCTGCATGTCTGTCTGTCTGACGGCCCGTCATGTTGCTTGCTCGGTGCGACGTGGATACCACATACCCGCAGTGTTTGTGCCGGAGAAACCAGTTTCCAGAAAAACCTCTCTTTCTTTGTGCGACTGTGGAATAAAAAGGTGTGAGAAAAAAATTTTGTTGCCTGCTCTGCCAGACAGTTCCAGTGGATGCTCTCCTCTGATTGAACACCACAGCTTGCCAAGGCCCACAAACCCATGTCTGGCCCCCACACCCAACAACACGCGAGCTGCAACGGGTTCTATGAACGCTATTTCAGGGTCCGAGCTCAAATAAATCCGCTGACCCAGTCAACCTCTTCTCCCTTGAGTCAACCGCTCCCAATCTGGCGGGCGGCCGACAGCCGCAACAACCAGATTGATTTTCCCATCTGCAAGAGCGTTCCAAGTGAAAGAGCCATCCTTTCCTCAGATCCTGACACTTGCCTTAGGGGCGCGTCTAACTAGGAAAATTTTACCAACTGCCGAGATGAGGATTTGTGTTAGTACGAGTTCTTCGGCCCTCAAGAGCGACCCTGATCACGGAGATTAGAGCGAGCCTGGGTTAGCAAGTACCAACTAAAGGTTACATGTGGTAGAGCATCATACTCTAGCAACTCTGTGTACCCGGTTACTGAGAATACCGAGAAGAAAAGACCGCCTTGTCAACTTACTGTACTTGCTGAAAACGGCCTCAAAGGGTAGAGTAGAGTGCGACACTGTAGAGTGCGTTTGGAAAGATTGCTATGTACTATTTTCGGACACGCGCGACTGCTGTTTCTGCCAAGAGCACGCGAGACACAACGCTTACCGACTGACCAAACCTCACCAACAGCAGCAATCGCAACACTGTCAGAAGGTACTTTGTTAACCTACAGTGGTAGCAGAGGCTTTACAGGTCATTCGGCCAGCCAGCTAGCCAGCCACCGCGTTCCTGACTTCGGAGACCGACACACATCTCACATTAGTGTCCGAGTGGCTTTGTGAGGCTTGATGCGAAGTGTTTCAAAACACCAGTGGAGGGCATGGCCTGGCAGGCATGGTTTGATCACAGGCCAGTGAGACACTGCACACCGCGGCAGAAGTAGGGTAACAGGTGCCTCTGCAGCGGTGCTCACTATCAAAATTAACTGCTGCTGCACAGAGGACCCTTTCTTATCCAACCATCGAAACCTCCTGTGGGTTGACGTGTTCCTGAGCGGGCGAGTGTGGGGTGTGTGGGGTAGGTTTTACTCTGGGCAAGTAATAGATAGATAAAGACCCTGGTGCAATCATGTGATGATGCCCCTCGCAAGTAGGTATAGTTAAAGAAGTTACTCCTTCCTTGTACTACTGGTTTAGGGGAAAGCGGTCCAAACCTCCCTCCTTGACGGAAGCATAAGTATCGGTCTCCGAAGCCATGTACCTGTGAACACGGTGGCTGACCCAGTCGGCCGGCGGTGGATAATAACCTGGGAGCTTTCTGGATACCCTTCCTGTTTGTTACGCCGATGAATGGACGAACCAAGCTCGGTGATAGGCCCAGTTCATGTGCGCATACCGGTGGTAAGTGTTCTACCCTACCTACCTACATACCTGTGGGCCAAATACCTGGGCAGGTAGGCCAGCCCAAACGCCAGGCCCGGGAATTTTGTTTCAGACAGGCTGTGGTTCGCGCGGTAAACATCTCGGCGAAGTGATTGGAGGGAACCCGGCCCGCTAGCAGTATCCGTCCGAGTGAGAGCCAATGACTCGCACCAAAAAAGCCAAATAGAATAAGAAAAATCGATCGAAAGGAAAGGAAACCCCCGCACGCACACAGAGCACCAATAGATCTCATACAGATAAGAGAAAAGGGCAGAGAATCGATATATTTAGGTCTCTACTGTACTCTGCTTACCTACAGCTAGCCCGACCAATCCCATAATCGAGCCTTGAATCTTAAGTTTTAACCGAACCGGGACGGGTATCGTTTTATTATTCGCTTGGATCTAGCCGTGCCTCCCTCGATCACTCCCTTCTCGAGTGCATTCGGTTCCAGAGCTGTCTTGCCCCTAAATACCACACGCCGAGCCAACAGGTGGGAAGTGGGTATTTGCCTTGGCACGGGATCGGTACCGATCTGACACGAGCAGGTACATGTAGTTCTTACTCTACCACCTTAGAAGTGTGTACCTGCCCCCTTCTGCTGTTGTCGGAGCCGAATTGCACTCGGGATAGCTGAAAAAATACTTTCAGTATCCACAGCCTGCCAGTGTCTATTGATAAAGTACATAGTACATACATGTCCTGGTCACGCACACTTATCGGTTTGGTTTTGGTTCGAGCCAGCCCAGCCAGAGTCTAAATCCGTGCAACTGTCTCTGCGCGTGATCAATCGATAATTTAAAATTAACGAGAGACAGGAAACAGCACTCTCCGGGACGCCCAAACTGGAAGTGACAGATATGTAGGTACAAGATACGTATATACAGCCGTAGCCGTGCTCTATCTTTAATTGCGATCACAGAGTGTAAGGCGGGCTTAGTCAAGGTGTCAACATACTGCATGCCTAACTAAAGCACATAGAGTAGTAATATGTGTCGTCATTACATGTATAAGTAAGTGAAGAGGCTCCAAACCTCTTCATCATACTGACTCTTCCCCACGCAGCGAACCGTCCCGATCAGCGAGTACGGATGGCGTCCAACTTCAGCTCGACTCTACTCGCGACCAGCAACAAGAACCCGAAAATGCACGTCATAATCTGCAGTTTCCATTGGAGTAGAAGTCGAAAATACACCAAAGACTTGCAGCTGCATATTCGGGTTCTTGTTGCTGGCCGCGAGTACAACTCCCCCTGCTTTTGTGGCTGAAAAGTATCATGGCAGTTACTCTACATATGTAGGTACAAGCATTCAGGTGTCACCTGGGCAGTCATCGGGAAAGAGTCAATACGCATCATGTAGGTACCTCCCGTGAGCTCAATTCGAATGGTGGATGGCCTACGACATGAGGCTGGTGAGGACGACAACTACAGAAAGAGTCTGGGCTTCGATCCCTTTTGGACCAATCATTCTAGACCAAGTCGGTCTGGAAGCTACATACACCTGTTCTCCACGAGAACAGCCACCGGCTGGCCGCCCCGGTATCAAGACAACAGAATAGACCGTAGGGCTGAGATCGGCTACGTATTCTGGCTTCGTACATATTGTACATAATACAGGAACAACTCTGATATAAAGCTTGGTACACAGGCCCTGGCTTACAGTACGGGATGCTTAACCTTCGTCAAGACCTTGTTGGCTAATCATACGTTATCACTCGCTCAACCAACAACAGATCTCGGCACAACCGCATTTGGATGAATTTTTCTTATTATAACCCTCAATTTTAAACTCCCAAATGGTATCTACTACGCATGTTCCGCATACAGAGCTATGCCCTCTCTCCGTGTACACTTTCATAATCCCACCCTATATCATAAGCCAAACAAAACAAACAAAACCAAACAAACAAAAGAAGCCTTGCACAGCATGAGTGAATCCCCCAAACCCTCAGAAAAAAAGAAAAGAAAGACTCATAAAACAAAAGGAAAATAACCCTACTACTCTGACCGTTTTCTAACTGTCGGTAACGTCCACCAAATACCCTCCATAAAGACAAACAGCCCAATACTGACCGGATGGAGCACCCACGCCCCAAAGCGACTCGCCAACAGTCCCGTCGTGAATGGCGCAACCGCACCGCCGGATGATCCAATAGCAGATATGAGCGATAGGGAGGTGACAAGTAAGTGGCTATCGATCAGCCGTGTGACGATCGTCATGGTGCACGGATATATGGGTCCCAAAAGGATCCCGACGATGGTGACAAACACGGCATTGGATATGATGCTGGGAACCGTCCAGACGAGGACCTGGAAGAGCGCCGAGCCAAGGATAAGGCAGTAGACTGATCGCTTTTCGCCAAAGCGGTGGCACACGGGGGAGAGGGCGAAGCGGCCGAGTGTGATACCTTTTCGAAAAAGAGCGTTAATTTCCCCCCAATATATCTGAAAGGGGTAGAGGGTGGTAGTACCTGCCCAAAAACCAGAGACGACATAACCCACTTCAGCAGGATCTCCGTTTCTTGATGCGATCAGGAAGGACACGGTCCAGCCCCCAATTGCAACTTCAGCTCCCTATTCCATTCATTCATCATTCACTAGTCAGCTCCGACTGTTCAATTGATCAGCTGATCTGAGGTATTATAATATTTACCTGGTACGCAAAAATAAACAGCGACGTTAATAAGGCATATTTATTCTTCATACTCTTCTTTAAAACCTCTCTCTTCGACATAGCACTACCTCCAATCTGGGCCGCCACGGGGATGGGGCTGTCCTTCTCACTCCCCCTGAAAACCGAAGGGACGAAGATAGCGTTTACCACCGAGAGGCCGAGAAGGATCAAGTAGAAGTGTGACCACTTGACCCCTCTCGACGCCATTGCGGTGGCCATCAGCGGTGATATCGTTCCGCCGACGCCATATGAGCCTATATATATAAAGCGAATTTAGTTTCTTCGCCGGAGCACGCATACAAAAGTGGGTCGGTGCGGCAGATCACCATACCATGGACATATCCAAATAGTGTCGTACTGTTCTGCAGACTCGAGCAGAAAACATTGCATTGCGCCAGCATCTATCAAGCCCGCCGGCCACCGCCGGAGATTAGCTTCTTGAACCATTCCACCACATTCCCCACCACCTCCAACCGGATAGGGATTCTTACAAACGCCATACCCGCACCTATCAAGAAGTAGCTAGCCACGACCACGCCCCAAGGCGGGGCACAAGAGATAGCCAAGAAGGCGACGGCAAGCAGCAGCACCCCAATAAGCAGCGTCCGCGCCCTCCCGATCCTGGAGTAAATTGCTTGCGAGATGAAGGCTGCCGTGACGAAGCCAACTGCGTTCGCCAGGAAAATAAGAGACACAACTGCATAGCCGATGCTGTAGTGCTTCTCCATATAGGGGATTAAGGCTCCGGGTGCAGCGTCGCTGACCCCGTTGGTGAAGATGAGCATGCAAGCTGCGAGGAGACGCCAGCGGTTTATCGAAGGACTATTTTTGTTTACATATTGGTTAGATACATGCATCTGAATAATAGGGAAAGCTTCAATGCCACGTCGCACGGAGGGGTTTGCAATTGGCATGGGCATTCAATTGCAATTATTGAAGCTGTATATCAGAATGGCTCACCTGTTCACACTAGGCATCAAACCCACAGCTTGCACCCCATCCGTAGTTGCAGTCGTTTCATTCTGCTGTGGACTCGGGGGTCTACTGTTCTCCAAAGCGCTTGGGGTCGTTGGCTCCGTCTTTGGAGTCTGAAAACCACTTGTACTGGGACCGCACAATTTCCTCAATTCGTCCGGGTCCGTCTCGGTGTATCCTGGGGTTGTGGCATGGCACACTGGCTGCTTGTGGTAGACCGGCGGTATGCTTTCAAGTTCAATATGGAGCGTTGGGCCTCGGCCGCCAAACAAACTCATTTTGGTTTGGAAATATTGTCCTGGTCCGTCGTGTGGATATCTTTTCAGCTTCGAATTCGTCGACGATAAGATTGGATCCTTTCGGCCGCTGCTGTTACAGTCAATGCTGGGAAGAGGGATTAATATTTTTTTTATCTCTTTCGAATTCCCTCTGCCTTGAGTTCCACAAGAGGGTTTTTCTATATATTAAGAAAAGCCTCTCATGATAAGACAAAGCTTGCCGCTTCTTGTATCTGACAGCCCAATTGATCCAATCTAACCAGATGTGATTTCAAAGCAGCTGCATCTCTGTGGTTCAGTCTCGGTTAATTGCAGCTAGCTAACCCAACAGTGCAGTTCTATGAAAAAGCAGAGTAACTGCGGAGCACTATGCTCCGATCACTCATCTCTCTTTTTCTCTTTTCAGGGGGGGCACTATACATATGCATACTCCGCTCTTGGCACACTCGGAAGAATCTCTGAGTGGCCAGTAAAATTCCCGTACCTTCGGTAATCCAGTAACGGGTTGCTTAAAACAGGGGTGGAAAGATGAGGTGGAAAGAGATAAAAAATATTTTTTCACGATAAGAAAACCGCCTCAATCAACCTACGTACTTACTCTAGTCTCTACATAATTTTACTCACCTACGTTACAGCACCTGCTGACCTGGGTTTTGCACGATGGTACCTGTCTAGGTTGGTTGAACCTTGCCGGTTGTGGAAAGGAAACCACGGGCCCAGGGTTCTCTTAGAATTTCTACTCTAATGTCGACGCCAGCGAGGTAGGGCAGGACGGACCGGCTCGGAATTTTCACCAACTGACGGCGGTATATTCAGATGGTCATTGATGCCCAGAAATTTGGTGCTTTTATGTACTCAATGGACTCGTGACTGATATCTAGAGACTGCTTCTAAAGAGTCTTAATTAGCAGAATTCAGATAAGACTGTGGCCTCTGATGTGTTGTCGGACCGTGATCACTCCTTTGCCTAGAGCATCGTTACTCTAGACTTGATCAACCTGTGGATTAAGCACACGGGCATAATCGAGTCACTTAAAATGGCTTTTTTTTTTTCAACCAGGAAAAAGTATATATAAAAATAAAATATAAATACAGTCGCCAAAAAAAGACTGCCTTGCCGTCCTGAACTAGAACTACATAGTCGAGGTGGGGAGTCTCCGGAGTCATTGCCCCCTTACCCGGCGCCTCTTGACTCGCGTAAAGGATCCGAAAAAGCTTAAGTAAAACACTCAGTAAATCCTCTGCCCTGAACTAGTCGCTTTCCAGCTGGTCTGTTGCAAGCCCCAAAAACGCCGTGAGAGAAGGATCATCGAAACAGAGCAGAACCGAGGAGAGTACAGCTAAAAACAATTTTACTGCTTTCTTTTGTAGTTCCGTCTCTCTCTTTCTGTATATTTGTATGCTGTTGAGTAATCCGGCCAGCTGAAGTTAATTTATTGACACATACATTCCTTTTCGCATCCTCTACCCCGCAGTAGGCAGTGATTACGATGAGAAGCCTGTGAGATAGGAAATCATACCTATAGCTGTAAGTTTAGCGAGAAGGATGTTTGCGGCGTGGTATCTAGGTTTCTTGTCGTTCCTGTGGGAGTCACTGCCCAGCCAGCCTGATACGGCCCGGTACGTATGTACGTATGTATGGGCTCAAGTAGAATACCGGCCGGAACGGATAAGGATTGGCGGGGTATCTGTGGTACGGCTTGTGAGTTGGACCCTGTTAGTGTGCCGGACCGCTATCCCGGAGCTGTGGATGATCTTCTGCGGGTGTAAAGTGGTTTCGGGTGGTGGCGGTGGAGGCGAGACATGATGTTCGTTTTCTCCAGGGTGTTATTGGTGATGTAGTGGTGATATGGTGTAGTTGTGGTGGGGTGGGGTCAATGATCGGTGCGATTTAATTTCGTCCTTCTGCAGATTCCGGATTCTGGAAATCCGGACGCGACGGGGGAATAGTGGGTATGTAGGGAGGCACGGCCAGATGTCAAAACAAATGCATAAGTGAGCTAGCTGGTCTTGATAGGAAAACATACACCTCCATATGTAGCCGTAAGTTGTAGCTACATGTAACTACTTGCTTACAAGCATATGAACCAGAAAATGCAAATGTCTATTTTGTATGGCAGATCGGCGCCACTCCATACAAATAATCCTTGACTCTCGAACTCGCATTTTCTGGTTCATATGCTGGTAAGCAAGTACATGTAATACATAGCTTCCAAGCAGCGAGTGACCGCCCATGACTGCAATAAGTGCAACAACCCACCCAATTCTGCCAGCGACGATATCTACTCCAGAGCCGAGTGTAACTATTCAACCACCCTATCAAAGCCCAGTTGTACTATATACACCGCTCTGAGTCGGTGTGGCCAATGGAGATGGTAGATCGCTACGCGTGCCAAGATGGTGCGCAGGGGTAGATACGTCTCTTATTGGAGGGAGTGCACATACCACCTAGACAAAACTTTTGGAGCTGCGCTGGGTCGCTGAGGAAGTTTCTGCGCATCCACTTCATAGATACCATGATCTGAGGTCCAGCACCTGAAGCGTTTAGCTCGGGAATGATACCGATATATACATACCAAGCATAAGTGGGATTTTACCTAGAGAGGTGCGCATGCTCTTGTGGAAGAATGGATGAGATACATCTCGTACCTGAGCCTGTAGACTACATGTAGTAGTAACCCTCTTTGATCCATACGGGAGCGCAGCCTACACTCTCCGTAATGCATGGCAAATTACTACAGACGGGGACCATCATATATGCATAGTGGATCCAAGGGCACAGGAGGATCAAGCAGCGGAGTTAGAGTAGTGGACGTGATGGGCACGCTGTGTCTTAATCGGGATTTCAATGCTAAACCTAACAGGAATCAAGACTAAGAGCCTAGCCAATAGATGATGTAATAAACAATCAGCCAGGAGCCTAGCTAGTATCTGGGCGTCGAGTGATGGAACATGATTAAGTGCGCGAACCAGCGGTCCGGTTTTTGATTGTTTTCTGTGGCAGCGGGTGCGATATGTATGTTACTGTACTTATGGAATACTACATATACTGTACATGTGTAGATCTGAGAATACATGTGTGATGGAGAAGACAATTTTTACAAACTCTACGAGAACATGAGAAGTAAAAGAGAAAGAAAAGAATAAGAAAAGATCATCTAGATAGAGTAGAAAAACCCCTTTATTCATTGCAATCCCAAGTCCTAACTAACTGCCTAATGATATCCCGAAGCGTCAAATCATGTCCAGAAGAAAAAATAGCACGTATATCCCCTTCCCAGCAAACAAACAAAGAGAACCCCCAAAGAAACGAAACAAGAAAAAAAAGAGAGAAAAAAACCCAAACTTTTACCTCCCCCCTCCGAGTCCCCTCCAAGTTCCCCTCCCCCCTCCCCCAAGCCCCAGTACAACTCACAATCTACACAACCCCCTCAAACTCAACGCCTCCTCCAGCCACGCCTTCCCGCCATCCTCCAACCCCTCACAAACAACCTTCACCAACACCGGCGGCCGTAACCCCATCCTCTCGGCCCTCTTCCACCTCTCCAGCCGACTAATACCCATGCACGGCCCATATTGGCTACTCATGTCCCAGTGCCTCAGCACCTTATCCTGCAGGCTCATGTCCTCCTGATGGAGGGGCTGCGAGCGGCGGGTACCGAGGATGTGGGTCTTGTAGTACTCCGCGAGGGCCTCGTTGGTGACTACTTCTCTAGTGGTAGTAGGAGAAAGAGTGGCTTCGTCAACGAGGGGTGAGGAGGTGGGGGAGGTGGAGGCGGCGGGGATAGAGATGGAGGTGGATGCCCGCTTCTTGGGGCTTGCTGCGGCGTCTTTCTTCGCTACTGGGAGGTGGGTGGTGCTTTTTACAATCTTGGAGGGGGTCTTGAATGATAAGACTGCCTGGTGGCCGCCTGATGAGGACCGTGATGCTCGTCGTGGCGGCATCTTGGCGGGGGTATTTTGTTATTTGTATTTGTACTGGTGTTGGTGTTGGTATTGTATTGTTACTGCTTAGTGCTCTCAGCTGAGTGAGTAGGTGCACAGCGGTAGGTACATGTATTAAAACGAACTAGCGAGGTAGAGTCATGCCGAGAAGCTAGGCGACCACAAAGAATGCGGGGACTATTTATTCGCTTAGATAACGGTCCAGAGTAGCCTGATACAGACATGAATGTATGCACGCCTTAAGTGGTTGCTTGGTATGACGTCACGCGTTTGTATGTCCGTTCACGACGGGTCTACACGAGGCTAGTGGCCACTAAAACACCCGCGCCCTCCACCCCGCCTCCCCTATCAAAACAAAAAAGACACCCAGCCCAAATCCAAGTCCAAATAAATTCATCTTCGTGGCAAGGGAATAAGATCCCGTATAGAGAAGGTTGAATGAACAAACTATCCAAATGATACCTACAGACAAAAACACCATCACCCGAGCCCATAAAACCAATAGAAAAATGAAAATGAAAAATGAAAAAGACCAAGTCGTTCCCGAAAGAAACTGAAAGAAAAAGTACAAAAGACAACCAACGCAAATATTGAACAAGAAATTAGTAGTAAAGTGATGAAGTAAGCCTTTCATGAAACTATAATACGGTAAGAGGAATTGATGAAGTGATTTAAATTGTATGGTGATTTTATTCTCAAGCTTTGCTGTAGTTTCTACAGGCAAAAATCGTCAGAAGGAAACTACACTTTTAGTAGTAATAAGTAATGGTGTTAATAGTGTGATGGAGGTAGTGTGATGGTGCTAGGAGATTCTCGTTATTGCGTAAATATGAGCTTTATTGGGCGGTATGATTGTATCATCTCCTCGGCGGCCGTGCACCCCGCCCATTAACTGCCTGTCCATTTACTGCCTGTGGTGCATTAATCGCATATTGCATATATTGATCAGCCCGATTCAACCTTCCACCCATCCCTATTATGGCCGCCGCCGCGGCCGGATTCGGGGCCTGAGGCCGTCGATGAAGTACACTGCGGTATTGGGCTTGTTGTTGTTGTGCTTCTAATTGCTGCGCTCGTTCCTGCGCTTGTTGCTGCACTTGTTGCTGTTGTAGAAGATCTGGTTTCGGAAACCCGCGATATTGCGCTTGCGGCTGTGCCTGGCCGTAGATGTGAGGGTCGTAATAAGCCACGGGATTCTGGTTCGCAGGTGGAATAGCCCCGGCCGCAGCACGTGCCGCTAGTTGGGCATGCTGGGCTCGCTGTAGTAGTAATTGCTGAGCTTGAGGCCCCTGTTGGGCTTGTAATGCTTGTTGCTGCTGGACTTGTAGTGCCTGTTGCTGCTGGACTTGTAGTGCCTGTTGCTGCTGGGCTTGCTGCTGGGCTTGCTGCTGGGCTTGCTGCTGCTGCTGCTGCTGCTGGGCTTGTAACACCTGTTGCTGGGCCAAAAGTACCTGTTGAGCCTGGTGTGCCGCTACACCAAGTCCGTTACGCATATGTTCTCGGATCCTTTGAGCCAGTGGGCCTCGGCGATGAGCTACATCTGGAACGTAGGCAGCAAGGCCGGCTGCTTGTGCAGGTCGTGCAGGCTGCGCAGGTTGCCGGTATGCAACACCAGGGTTTGCGGCCTGAAACTGGGCAACCCGAGCTTGTTCAGCCTTCTTTACGGAATCCGATACTTCTATCTGGAGATCTTCTTCATTGAGATCAGGATCGGTTTCTTTGAGCTTTTCGACCGCTTTTTTGGCGGCTGCCTGGACTTCTTGCTCGTGACGCTGGTCGGTATTGTCAAAAAGAGGACAGTTGCCAGGCTTTCCACCACGAGCCGGATCGTTGAAGTGATCATAGTTTTTGATGGTCTCAGAGCAGATGTAGCTAAATACGGGGACTGGCTTTAGTAGTGAACTCCCCCAAATGTCGGAATAAGCATATACATACCACTGTAAGGTGTTGCAGCGGTTGCAATGGATTTTGTTGCATCCGTACTCTTTGATGTATGGATAAGAGCATTTGCTATTTCTATCAGCACTAAACCCGCTTGTTTCAGCTCTCAAGGTACTCACTTGCACTTTCTGACCATCGCCTCGGTCATTGCCTCTTCAACGGTGTGTCTGACAGAAAGCTTATTTTCCTTTGCGAACTCCTCACACGTTTTCGGTATGTGGGAGATTTGCTTGCAAAATCTACAGCTGCTCTTCTCGCCTTTTCCGCTGAATTAGCAAAGGAATCCAGACAAAAAATGAAAGAATCAATTTTCTTACATCCTTCTTTCTGACACGTGAACACCCTATCAACCTCCGCTGGCGCACAAATTGCTCCCCAATCGCAAAATGGACAGGAAACAAATCCATCAATCTCAGCAATCCTCAATGCGTCTTCTTGCTCAATCTTAGCCAACGCCTCTAAAGTCTTCTCGTCGAGGAACCGTAATATCTCCGACCTCGAAAACTCAGTCTTACAACCGGAACCGTCCATACACAATAGCTTATATCGCCCATTCCCAATCTCGTTCTCGGCATTTTTTCTGGCGCAGTCCAGACAGAAGAAGTGCAATTCATTGCAGTGCGTCATTCTGTCAAAAGGGTAATCCCCAAAGCAACAGGCACACTCCATGAGCATATTATTTGCTTCATATTCTTTCTCATTCATCTCGGCAGCAATTTTCGCGTCGTTCTCCGTCTGCTTCTTTACTAATCGGTAATCAGCTCCACTGTAACGGTTATGGGGAAGGGCAAGGGAGAAGAAAACATACGCTTCGCTTGTCTAGCTTTGTCCCTCGACCACTCTAACTCATCCGTGACCTTTGTCCACATTTTCCCCATCTTCTCCCGCCCATCCAAGTTATCCACTTTTCTAGGCTGGTTCAACTTCTTATAAGGTTTTGGATTGGTTGAATCGTATGTGCGCTCAGTTTCCAACAACGCCGCATAAGCCGCCGCCAAAAAATTACGCTTCTGGGTGACGATTTTATTGATATACGCAACTGGCATCGTGGGAAACTCCTGCCTTAATAGTAGCCTACTGCAGAGAAGCTCAAGTTAATACGATCATAATTTCAGCCTTACCAGTAGTCACGTGAGTAGGCGGGGTAGATAGGTAGATAGAAAGGCAGTGCTTACACCAAATCTGAGTACTCGTTTGTCTCTCTCTCTCTATCTTCAGCTTCGTAGTTTTTCTCAATCTCCTCCTCTGCTACTGAGCGTTTCCTTTTAAGCCCCGGCTTTGGCTCCTGCTCAATACGCGGATATCCGTCTTCGGCTAACTTATTTGCTATAAAATCCGTAATTCTTGGGCCCTGTAAAGCGACGTTCTCTTTATAGAGCTTATGTATATGTTCCGGGCATGCGTCGGGAAATATTGTGAGCACACCAGCTAGATACTCATCGACTTGATGGTTGAGTGGCAGAGGATTCTCCTCAGGTTGATGTTGTAGTTGGGGCTGGTGACGGCGGTGCTGCTCAATGGGCATATCAGGCACATCTTCTCCATCAGTATCGTCATCGTCGACCCAATCGTTGTATACTACATCATCATCATGATCTGATATTGTTAGTGCACCGAATGAATCAGCCGATGAGGAGGGCGAGAGGAGCTGCGGACGTAATATAGGGGGGTTCGCCGCTTGAGCACCCGGTTTGAGGACAAGGGGAGCGGGAATCCGGTCATGGTGTTGCTGCTGTCGTCGTTGTCGTTGTCGTTGTTCTACTTCCTGTTGCTGTTGCTCGAGTAATCGCACTGATTCCTCTTCGTCCATTTCAGCAAGAATCATATCGGTAGCTGCCTCGACGTCTCCTTGTGCTCGTAGTAAGGCTCGTGCTATGCTCTCAGCATCGCGCCCTGCGAACATTTCTCGTAATCGCCCTAATGGGGTATCCATATCTGTCCTGTGCCGGTAGCGTCGAGTGGGAGAGTCGATGATGATGATGTGTTGTATGTAGAGGGGGTGGTGACATATAGTGACAGAGGATCTGTATCTCGGGGGAAACGAAGCAGTTGATGATAAAGGCTCAGTCAACGGCTTTCGGAGGGAGGCTCTCGGATGGTGGGAGACGGTGAAAATACAAAGTCACGGATCGCGAAAATAGCGGCTCTTCACTATTTTTATTTATATTTTCCTGTGGGCGGGACGGCCCCCTCTAACGTTACTTTAGCAAGCTTGCTAAGCTGGGTACAACTGGCTGCTAGGACGGTAGATTAGAGGAGCAGATAATACAGTTGAATATCCACTGCTGAACGCCTGATTTGAAGGAAGTGGAGCAAGCAAGCAGATCGCATTCTATCTAGCCGCAGTACATGTACATATTTACCTGTTGCTCGCCAAATCTCGTGACGGGATAAATTGTTACAGATGGTGAGTCTTAAGATAGTAGTACCACAATCAAAATGCGGCTAGGCTGGTAAAGTGGGCAAAGGAAGATTATTGATGTGACTGGGGGTTACTTAAAGTGAGCGCTTGGGGGAGAAGCTTAAGGTGAAGAGGAGCCAGGGTTACAGGACAACAACAACAGCAGCGATATGAACCTCTTTCTCCATTCCCACGATCCTTTCTTCCACGCGCCCATGCTGGCTGGCCGTTTGGTACTAGCTACATGCAATTTGTAACCCCCCTAAACACCCGGAATAACGGCTTTCTCCCTCAACTCAACTCTATCGTTCTGCAGGAAATTGACGCCCAGTAAGGAGAGGAAGAAAACTTTATTTGTTTACCGATCTGTTAAGTTTCAAACGAAGCCTTAGGCCATATTGAAACCGAATTGGGTAATTAGCGTAGGTGGCAGAATTTCGATTGGACTACAAGAGCTGACCCTTGCTCGGGGATTGTCTCATGAGAGAGTGCTTGGTCATTTTCCCACTTGATTGCTCTAAATTTACGCACGTATGTATATGTATGTACCCCACACTCACTTTGCTTGGACTCCTCTTCAATTCGTACATACTCTAGATAGGATAGACATTAAAGGAATACAATGCCGCAGTAATTTAAGAGTTCACAAGTCCCCCACGAGAATTATAACGCTGTATCAATCCAATCCTCCGTACAATGCCGTAGATCAAGATATTTGGAGGGACATTTAGAAAGATGGTGCTCGGCATACCACATGTAGCCTATCATGTAAGTTGACTCACTAACAACCCATTGACTCACCTTGATTAAGCACAGATGTTTCTCCCATCGTGAATACTAAAGCCAACACTTAAGCGAATAAATTAGGTTATCTGCTTTGCATGTACTGACTCTTCTTTCATGAGTTTTCGCACTGTTTCAAATATCAAAGTGTAGCATGAATTATCACTCGCCCAGTGCCCCAATGATATTCAACCAGATGATACACCCTATATACCGGTATCATTGATGCCTATAATAATGAGCTGTTGCGCGGAGCTTCCATTCCTCGCTGTGGCCCCTTACTTCCGGGGGAGAGGTTTAAAAGGGCACCCGCGCGTGGTTATGAACTCTTTAGTGACACGTCCACGTCTCTATATTATTATTAATAATATGCCTTGCTACATGGTAAAATCACAGTCGACTCCTTTGGCCGAAAAGCTAGATAGCCAAGCCGTCAAACCGTCAGTTTAAAACCTGATTCTTATTGCATGTATGTAGTCTTAACTCTGTTCGCCAACGGAAAGGGAACCTCTTGTAAACAACCGTGCTAAACTTTTAATACCTACACCGTGACGGCCGGGTATATTATGTTAACTTTGCAATTTGATGGGTATGGGTTTGATGATTTTGCATCCCGCCAAGGTCTACCTATATATGTATCTAGCTTACACTAGGCAACTACATGTAGCTGCCCTAACCTCATGTATCAATATCAGATATCAATAATTATCGATCCAGTCCGCCAACTCAGTCTTATCTCACTCGCGACCAAGAGAAATGTATCAATTACCATCAGCACTCCTCCACTCAGTTCGGGGGTTGGGACTTCTTTACTGGACCCCGCAGTTCCACCGGACATTTTCCCATGGCATCCATCAGGTAGCAGATTCAGCACTACCACTCCTTAACCAGCGCGCACTAATAACCGGCGGCACTCGCGGCATCGGACTTTCTATCGCAAAAGCACTTGCTAGTGCTGGTTGTTCTTGCATACTCGTTGGCCGTGATTCTGCCACACTCTCAAAAGTCCAGCATGAACTTGCGATGCCGGGGGGTGCTGAGAAACATGGAGTTCTTGCCGGTGATGTCAAGGAACGTAGTTTCTGGGATGAAGTTAAGAAGGGTTATGTTGGTTCACCTCCAATTTTCTAAGATGGTATTGAATTAAGGGTAATTTAGTGTAGACAGACCTAGATATCCTCGTAAACGCCGCTGGAATTACGCATAACTCGTTGCTGATAGCAATGAAGTATGATACGATTGACGAAGTGGTCAATACGAACCTATTGGGTAGCATATACGGCTGCAGGGCTGTATTGAAGAATATGGTGCGGCGGAAGGGAGGTAGTGGCCTCTTTTTCTACCAATCCTGATAGACATTGGTTTTATTGATGTCCGATAGGTAAAATTATCAACATATCCTCGGTTCTAGGCTCCCATAAGGGTGGTAAGGGGTCCGCTGCATACGCTGCCAGCAAAGCCGGTGTTCTTGGTACATATGCCCATACCTTTCCCACACCCACGCACATACCAGAAAATTAATGAACTTCCTGAAGGCCTCACAAAAGCTCTCGCAGATGAGTACGGCGCCCACAAAATCCGCGTCAATGCTATTCTTCCTGGATATATAAAAACGGACATGACGGATGGTTCTCTACCCTTATGTTCCTCCTGTTCCTTTCTCATCAGATTGGTTGGTAATGAACTGCTAATGGTACCCAACAGCAATGTCAAAGGAAGCTTCAGAAATAGCATGGAGTCAGATACCCATGAAGCGTTTTGGGGCTTCGGAAGATGTGGCACATGCGGCACTGTTTCTGCTGACAAATGAGTACTCAAATGGCAGTGAGGTAGTTGTCGATGGAGGACTTTCAACCTTCTAGATGCTGGCAATGAGTGTGAATGACAAAAACACTAGCGTAATGAATAAGAATGGTTCAGGGGCGATTTGGGAGAGATTTTCCCGGGATGAAATACACTACATGTATGTAACATACATGTATGAACAGAGATGCGCCGAAAAATGCTGGAGTTTAGAATTGTACGAACTTATATATCTCTAGTTTTTTCAGCTATCCGATAACCGCGTCTATAATTACAGCATCAACGGCGATATATAGCTTAGTACTATAGCGGTGGCGAATTTAATTTACAGGGCCTACTTACTTAATAGAGTTTCTCGTTAAGTTAGTTTTACTTCACGATAGCGTATTTCGAAATATAGGCTGAGCCTCTTGGAGAACGAAATTCTTAAGTCCACCCGGGTCTCATTCAAGACAAGAGTAGATAGTGAGGAGGGTATGAGGAAATGGGGTTAGGATATTGGAGGTGAGATACAATCGGATAGATGTGATGCCAGTAGTTGAGCGTGGAAAGCCTTTGTTATTCTCGAAGCGTGTTCATTATCATCTGTCCATGGCTTTTGATAAATGCTAGGTGATTATTGTACACTTTGTTCCTGCTTTTATAAATGAATCCGCGCCCCTTCTCCCACTCGCCACAATCCAAAGCCACAATTGATGCGTATTTTCCCGGCGCATTCATTCCTGCCCGTTGCTAAAATATATGAAGAAAAAAAACCTTTAAAATTATTCCAGTTGGTCGGAAGAGAAAAAAAAAAAGGTTGACAAAGATAAGAAAACAAAACAGATTTCATAACCAAGGGTCCCTATGCTACTCCAGTGGGTAAAAAAGCAACCCACACATGATCGTCCCCCAAAGCATTTCCCAATAGCTAAAGAAGAAAAATAGTCATAAAAAAGAATGAATAAAACTTACTTTGGTAGTATAGTGCCAGTGAGATTTACCAACAAAGGAAACGATACAGTTCAAAGGAAAGATATCGAGTCTAATCAGCTCTAATCAATAGTGATGAACCCATCATCATCCAAAACGATAATATCATCATCCTTTTTCTCCTCGAAAACCTTAGCACGCTTCACATTGACGTCCCTGTTCTCCACGATGACATCTACCTTTCTCTTCTTTTGTTCGGGTTCGTTCCCATTCCCATTTGCCCCTTCACCGCCAGCAGCGAGAATAAGATCTTCGTGGCTCCGTTTGAGACCATTGGCGAGACCATTTGTTCCACCCCCGTTTCCTGCCGGTATAGCCTTTAGCTTTCTCGGGATTTCGAATTTTTCCGGAACCGTGATGGGTTCACCGTCAGCTGGAAGGGCGGTGTTGGTCACAACAATTACTAGGTTAATCCTTGGCTCCTCCTCATCATCGTCAACAATAGTAACGAAAGTTTCCTCTCCAAAACCAATCTCTGACAAAGGTGTGTCTTTGTTATCGTCATAATCGGCATCGTAGAGAAGCTCCTTAGTTAGTAGAGATAGCTCCTCACCGTAGCCAAGCTGTTCACGGAGAACCTTGTCGACAAGATCACCGATTGTAGCGCGGGAAACGTCTGCTTCAATGGTAATCCTGGTCACACTACAGACTTCGCAATTGGGGTTTGGGGGGGAAAGTTTCTCGCTACTGAATGCACGGTCGGCAGAGCGGGAGAGAAATACCATTCTTGCTGTTTTGTAGTCCTCGCGAAGCACTTTAAAAGCCTGTAGTACACATAGACCAGCAGTTATAGCGTTTGTTGTTGCAATAGCCGGGATGATATTTCCCGCCATTTCTGTTACCCGTTAGCACACGTACCATCTGAGGTTTACTATCTTCCTTCTCGTTTAAAACAAACGGCAAAACAACACATACGTTTAATATCAAATTTCGATTTTGAATCAATCCCAAAGATCAAACTCCTTAAATTTGCGCTTGCAGCGACAAAGTCCAGTGTGTCTTCATCATCCTTGTCAAATGCTAAAATTGGAGCTGCCTCGCCATCCTTCACAGATGCCTTCAGTTCTAGCATCCTCTTAGCTAATCTCTGAAGACTATTCTAGCTGTGTCAGATACCATTCAACACTAGAAAGAGTCCCCTTCCTTGCCAATAAAAGAATGATCAACAGGCTAAACCCTACCTATCTGCAAAGACTACGTAGTTTTCAGCTAGCGTCCAGACTTTTTGGTCATTTTTCGCAACACTATTATCGATCTTCTCGGCCTCCTCAGATATTTGTGCATAGTCGAGAGCCTTGGGAAGCTTGCGAGATTTCCACATATCTTCCATCGATCGGAGACGATCAATGTCGGCTGCAAAGACCTTGCCGAAGATAGTGGCAGCAAAATCAGGAGAGGCCATTTTTTCTCGGATATTCTTCAATTCCTCAGCTTCACGTTTGAGGTTGGCTATTTCACCGGCTATAACAGTACCAGGATCAGCTGACAAGGTTTTGAAGAAACAGAATGATAATGGTTTTCATATGAAAAGAAAGATACGACTTGGTCCGATGGCCGTGGAACTTTACTATGCTTATAGATCTTCAAAGTTGATTGTAATGGTATAAGGCTCCTTGCCATAGCAAGAGTTTAGGGGCAAAAAAATAAGTAAAAATACCATTCTCGTCATTCTCACTTGGATCGACCTCTGGTGAGCTTTCTTCAGAAGTTCCAAAAATTTCACTTTTCAAAAGTTAGCTTTATGGGGATACCAACTCTGGGGAAGCTTGCACATACACAAAAAGATAACTTTTAGCCCAAACGATGCAGTGAATGGGCTGGCTAGGCGTGCTTCGGATTGTGCAAACTGGGAAGCTCTTGGGAATTGGTTTATGGGTGCAGTCGTAGCACTCGGTTGTTCTTTGTTTGATAACCTGTACCTGGCCATTAAAGCCTGTGGTTCCGCTCTCGATGAGCGGAACATCAGCTGCGAGACACATTTTGTTAACATGCCTTCTTGCATCCAGATTATCTAGCGCATTGAAAACGACATCGAAAGTTTTGAACCACTTGACGTTAAAATTGTGATCCTTGATGTTCGCATGGTGTGCTTCTAGCTTGACATTGGGATTGAATTTCCCAGCCGTCTCTTTTGCGACCTATTTGTACCGTTAGCTAGGCGTTACACTAGTACCCTGGAAATGCACGTACCATTGCTTTCGACTTTTTTATGTGCTGCATCCCAAAGAGGAACTGCCTGTTGAGATTGCTAAGATCTATCGTATCCAGATCGACAATGTGGATCTCTCCAAATCCCGTAAGAACCAAGTTTTTGAGGAGCTCACATCCAATACCCCCAGCACCGACCATAAGGACCCGTGCCTGCCTCCCGTATTTTGCGTTAGTAGCGGTTCTACTCTACAGACTGTTCACTCGAAAGCAAGCAAGAAACAATTCGCCGTTTGCCCCCATGTTCTGTGCGTACCTCTTTGATCCTTCCGTGCAGCGAGCCGAGTGACTTCCGTGGGTTCGTATCGCGTCCCATAACTGCTTGGATAGATGGGACGAGAACAGGGTTGTTTCTTTCCCACCCCTTCCGTGATGAATAGTGGTGTTGCGGCGTTCGAGGTGGAGGTGGAGGTGGTGTAGATAGATCCGGACAGGATAGCACACCCAGCTAGGAAAGGAGAGTTTATAGCGATAAATTTTGAGTTCGGTTGGTTGAGAGATCGAGAGTGAATGACTGAGCAGGGACTAAAACTCAAGGGAGCGCGGCGCGACTAGGATCGAGGAGGCTCTGTAGATGTAACCAGGATACCTAGAGAGACGTGACGAGTGTTCGGAAAACCGGAGAAGTCCGCTTGAACTCGTTTTGCGGGGATAATACAGCTGTAGACTGTAGTAGGTATGTAGTGCACCTTCCGTATTTAACGAAGAGGGTACTGTGGATAAAGCAGACTAGTGATCCCAGAAATTCTACTATTTCAAACAAAAAGAGAGCTCGAAAGAAAGAAATGCATGTGGAAATTGTAGGTGCACAACAATGTAACTACAGTTGAGTGTGTTATATAAAAAAAAGTCTTTACTGTCCTGAGACTCATACCCTCAACTCCCATCGTGCAGTTTCTTTCCTTTTCCCCACTGAAATCGTTTGTGCATTAGCTTTGAGCTTGGCGTGCATGGCAAATTCCAAGTCAGGTTGATCTTTTGGTACCTGCCTTGTCCTCCCCTTTAAAAACGAGTAATTGATAGCAACAAAGAGTCTCACTTCAACTACTTATTTACACCCCTGAAAAATTTTCAACAATGGGCGACGATGATGTTGACCAGGACCTTCTCGCCTTCATGCGCAAAGCTTTGGGTTTGGACCCGTCGGAAACAAAAGCTCATCCTACCACAAAAGTTCTTGAAAGCGCCCTATACATCTTCGATAACTCAATCGATGTTGCACTAGACCGAGACTGCGTCATGCAAGCAGCGGAGACAATTTACAATGCAATGCAAAAAAAGGCATACGGAACCTCAACGTGGTCTGAACAGGAATTACACCCCCAGGAGAAAAATGAGGATACGTTGAACTTCATCTTCACCATGGATGTGTTAAACTTTAGCTTCTGGAGTGGGCTGGAGGATGAAAAAAGATTCTCAGTCGACTATGGGGGGAAGAGGTACACTGGTTATTGGAGTCTGGTCGCCTTATTGCGAAGAGCTTTGGACGAAGGTTTGTCTTCGATTTTTCGTTACCGAGAGCTTAGAACCTCGATTCGCCCCCTCGACAGCTCGCGGTCGGAGATTGTAGCTCTATCTTTTGGTTTGTATATATTATCTACATGTAGTTGTTTACGAGCACTTGTAGTATGATGTGAACACTTGTCCACATGTTTAACATTTTGGCTGATATGATAAACACCCGCAATTCCAGGAATTCCGATAACATGTCCATACTTCTGGGTCGATCCTACTATCTGCTCCGACGATCTTCTCGCTCATGTCTTTCGATCTGCCACAGACGAACAAATCCCTCTGCTTCAAGAGCGAATAGAGTGCCTTCGAGAGGCTGGCGAGGTGCTTTGTGAAGTAGCTCCTCCTCTTCTAATCTAGAACATAA